CATGTGTCAACACTTATCTGGTGTGCATTTAATAGTGCAGGCTAACTAGTGTATAGCGAACACTTCTCTCATCCGAACACCACCTCTATGTTGAACACCATTTACCTAGAAATTCCACACAATTTTTAACTTTATTCACAATTAAGTTAAATCTTGACAGACAAATGCTACTACTTACAAGGTGTAATATGCAAACACACCCCTTTAGCCACACTCTGTCAGTACGCACAGGTTTCACTGGAGGCCCCTATTCATACAGTACTACATGTATAGGTTCAATGTAAAACAGATTGGGCAAGTTACTAATTACCCTCTCTAAGACATTGACTTCATATCCACTCTTCAAATTAAACATATTTTTGATCCAATAAGACATGGGTTCTACAGCCTTTACTCTCTCTCTCTCTTGGGAGGGAGTATTGATAAAGGGTTAGTGAAATAGAGGGTCTCTGATGAATTTGAATGCTGATGAGTTTATGTTGTCTGAAAATCACAACGTTAGATTATACCTTCTGTCTATAAGTAGCTAACATTCATTCTCGCACATACAACATTCATAAAAGCCATCAAAGATTCATTTGAGATTATGAAGATTTATCAGCAGCAGATTCAGAGATTTCGTAAAATGATTTGTAATAGTGAGAGGAGAGTACAGTAATCCAATGATTGATCAGGTTAGCTTTAAAAATTTGTGATTTGTGATAATGAGAGGAGAGTACAGTTATCCAATGATTGATCAGGGTAGCTTTAAAAATATGTGATGGTGAGAGGAGAGTACAGTTATCCAATGATTAATTAGGGTAGCTTTAAAAATTTGTGATGGTGAGAGGAGAGTACAGTTATCAAATGATTGATCAGGGTAGCTTTAAAAATATGTGATAGTGAGAGGAGAGAACAGTTATCCAATGATTGATCAGGGTATCTTTAAAAATTTGTTTAGAGAATTCATGCTGACCTGAACCAACCCCTTGTACATGTTTGCCTTACTCACTGTGTAACAAAACCTTTAATTCATGTCTGTATAACTGAAATAGTGAAGGTTCTATTTACTGAGAACCAATGGTAAATAAAACTGCAGTGTGTTTTTCAAAAACTTTATGACATATTTTATACAAGTTGTTTTTACGCTACGCTGTATGCCCTTTACATTTGTTTAAGTGTGGGAAAATTCATGTCATTTAATTGATAAATGAATTTAGTATTTTTTCAGTACATCTACACTTTGATACCAACAGTTGCAAAAATAGGGCCAAAAATATGTCAAAACCCTGATTTGGTTGCATGCATTCATGTTAATTGCCGTGTACAATGCAAAATGTTTTTTTTCATATTCAGTGTCCGTCCATGCACATGTATGAATTTCAATATGTTAAAATTACATTGGAAAAGTTAAATGCTTGAAGATTTTAATTCGACTTATAATGCCCATGGCACAAAACAACAATTATGAAAATTAAAAATAACTTGCATGTTCTGGCCATATACTTTTTTTAAAGTGTATGTTCACACTTGGTTAATGACTTAAAGGAGTTGTCTCATCCAATAATGACTTAAAGGAGTTGTCCCATCCAATTTAATTTATACCGATTGAAAACTTGCAACATAAATAGACTTTGACTCATAAATCTCTTTTTTGTAAATATTATCTAACATATAGAATATTACCATTTAGTGATTAGCTTGATTACTACCAAATAAGGATCATTGTTCCAACATTAGTCTAGCTACAAGCCTTTGTGTCCTATCTACTACACCTCTGTTAGAAGTTTTCAAATGTCTAATCAAGTAGTGGGAGGGGGGGGGGGTTACAGGGGATTTTAGTTAGACCATTTCAACATTTTTAAGGGCACTTTATTAAACAACTAATGTGTATGAGCAATTTTAGGATCAGGATTACATAGACTGCATCTTTAATTGTTATTGCATTGAATAGTTTTTTATGAATTTGATAAAGAGTTGATGTCATTGTGTTTTGGTTTCATTTTCATATTTTGTATAACACAAGCTTATAGCATTACCTTTTATTGAGCAATGTAAGGCAATCATCAAACAGAATATACTATCTATAAACTCTTTGTCCTTATATGGCATACAATATTCATATGTCCATATATGGAGTGCTTTGTTACATTTACTGTGAATTGATAACAAATGTACAAAATTTCGATATTAATAATTGTGAATATTTGAATGATTTGCATTGTAAAATTAGGAGTGTAATTTATCTCAAATCGCAATGAACCTTCTAAGTAGATATAAGATTCCCCCCTCCCCCTCCTTCCTGTGTTCTGATCTCATGTCTATATTCATCACAAGGTTGTGGTTAGGCCATTGCACTTTAATATGTGTTTTGCGTTCTTTTTGTTTTAATGTACATGTAAGTGTACTTTATATCATGATGATTGTTGTGAATGAAATTCAAAATGGACAATCTCTATGTGAATGGTCAAGACTCTAAGAGATAAGATATTTAGTCTAAACTTATCCTGTTCCCGGACTATAGTCCTGTACGGAGCCAATACATTTGCCTGTACGATTACAACTTGGGAGAATTATCTACGCCCCTTCCACTTAAGAAACCTACCTCAATGCATTCTAGAACTCAAAATGTAACTTCTAATATATTGGAACCGCCGATTGTCTGGGTTAGTTGGCAGAACGAGGTCTTTTTGTTTCTTGTGGCTCTTTTGGTCGAAGTTCGATTAAGATGGCGGTTATAACGGAATTTCCCGAACTCTTCCGTAATAGCACGAACTTGGTTTTTCGTTACTTCACTTCCATGTAAAATGGATTTGTTTCCGGTAAGAAACATTGTTTAACCATTCGGTATACAGTTAAGAGCATAGGATGTCGACATGGCAGTAAATATTGAAAATATTGTCCGAAATTTTCGAAATTCCCTCTTACCCGAAACAAATCCATTTTACACGGAAGTGACGTAACGAAAAACCAAGTTCGTGCTATTACGGAAGAGTTCGGGAAATTCCGTTATAACCGCCATCTTAATCGAACTTCGACCAAAAGAGCCATAAGAAACAAAAAGACCTCGTTCTGCCAACTAACCCAGACAATCGGCGGTTCCAATATATTAGAAGTTACATTTTGAGTTGTAGAATGCATTGAGGTAGGTTTCTTAAGTGGAAGGGGTGTAGATAATTCTCCCAAGTTGTAATCGTACAGGCAAATGTATTGGCTCCGTACAGGACTATAGTCCTGGAACGGGATAAGTCTAAACAAGTATTTGTGATTACTGATATTTAGTAAATATACTAAATACTTTGAATATTTGTCACTGATTTATAAATTATTATGTAGTTTCAAATTGTATCTCTACCCCTTGTGAGTAAAAGGTGTGTACCTGAGTTGGTGAGGGGAGGGGAGGGGTGGGGTGGGGGTGGTTGGTGGTTCACAAGGCGATGATTACCCTTTCATTGGCATTAATGTGCTAGGTTGTGACCCTCAAGGACCAGGGCTAGGCTCGATGCATGACTAACTACAATGTTCCCAGCCTTTGATTGTTTTAGTTTGTCATATCATGTCATCATCCAAGCAGAATTCAATACACTCAATATTATTGCCTCAATTTAGTTTTTGCCTTAATTCGGTTTTTGCCTCAATTTAGATTTTGCCTCAATTCAGTTCTTGCCTCAATTTGTTTTTGCCTTAATTCAGTTCTTGCCTCAATTTAGTTTTTGCCTTAATTCGGTTTTGCTTCACTTTAGATGCCTCATTTTAGTTTTTGCCTCAATTTAGTTTTTGACTTAATTCAGTTCTTGCCTCAATTTGGGCATTGCCTTAATTCAGTTCTTGCCTCAATTTGGGTATTGCCTTAATTCAGTTCTTGCCTCAATTTGGGTTTTGGCTCACAAATTTGCCTCGCCTAATTTTAGATTTTGGCGACTAGAAACCCCATGCTTAAATTTAACAAAAATAACATGTAAGAGTATTTGGCAAGTGTCTATTTACATGAAATAGTGCACAGGTATTTTCAGTTGAGATAATCTGGTTGCTTGGAGTTTGCTAAGGACAGAGATACATATTCAAATCCATGCATTATCATGACATGGTGTTTATACTGCTTTTTGCCTGATTAGACCCAGGCTTTCAAACACCTATAAGCAATAGGAACACTTACCAGTACTTAGGATATGATACATCTGGGATAAGCACAAAACTTGATGGGATTGATTGAATTTTGACAGTTTATATCTGGCATTATCTGTTATTGACATGAGTATGAACTTTGATTTGTTGGAAATGGGAGTTTTGCAGTCGTGATTTTAAACTTATAAACTACTTATTTCTCGTACTTAAATAGCCCTCCCACTGTAGATGCATACATGGTACAAACTGGAGGGTTAATTAACTAAATATTGATAATTAGGTTCATCAATTGTTTAAGATAAGCACAGTAAGAGATCAATCAAAAGCATACAGATTGAAGTTTTTGTTGTTTACACTGTGATACTTTCATATCAGTGGCCAGTGGGACAGCACATATCCTGAGGATAGGATAAATTTTGATTGGAGGATAAAATTATTGAGGATGTGAGAACAGAGAGACATTTTATTTATTAAGATAAGGTGAGGTCATGGTGACATGCTATCTTTGGTATGTATATATGACCTATGGTGACTCCTCACTTAACAAATAAAGAGCTGGGGTTCTCATGGATTTTAACATAAAAAAGTCTCCTAGCTTTAGATTGTTTGTGTGAACTTTAGACAATCGCTACATGTATGCATAGACGTGAGGAATTTCAATGCAAGTGTAGAGCATATTTTAAAAACTTTAGAAGCAACTAACATCTCGTCTGCGGTGCAAATAAGACTTCTGGAAAACTGAAAAATATTTTCAAACTTGTTGCAAAACATTTCAAAATTCATTGGGATTATCAAAAACAATCAGTAGTTTCTAAAATCATCAGGAGTATCAAAAACAATCATTAGTGTCTTAAATCATCAGAAGTGCAAAAACTATCAGTAGTGTCAAAAACCATCAGTAGCATCAAAAACCATCAGTTGTGTCAAGAATCACCAGGAGTGCAAAAACTATCAGTAGTGTCAAAAAGCATCAGTTGTGTCAAAAACCATCAGTAGTGTCAAATATCATCAGGAGTATCGAAAGTAATCAGAATCATGTACCGGTATTAAACTTCCACGAGAAGCATAGAATAATTGTTGAGCAGGTAGATCATCTTATCTGTATTGTGTGAGTAAGCGTTTTTTAGCACTTCAACCTCAGGTGTTTTGTTGGTAAACAAATCATATCCTGCTGTCAGAAACAAACAAATAATGCATGTTAATAACTAACTAAGTACAATATCAAATCTCTAAATTATAATGATGTAAACGACCATGTTGACATTAATGCAACTTTTGAGATAACTTTAAACGAGTTAGCAAATATGAACGCTGTGATCAATCCCGAGAACATATAATAAAAAGAAACCAAAACAGGACCACATGATCGTGTGAGTAATATCCCAATGAAGTCATATTTTGTATATTCTGAGAATGAGCTGTGATTAATACAACTGCATTAATGTAGTGACTGAGTCATAGGAGCCTATCTGAAGACACAGGGGAGAAAGGCATGTGTACCAGCTGACTCAGCTAGTCGAAATTAGATCGACACTGATGAATACAATAGTAGGATATTTAGCAAAAAGATACCAGTGTATTATCAGTTTGCATTGGTATTTTGGATATTTGGAATAAAGCAGTATTTGGATACATTGAGGATTTAGCAAATCTGCATGGTGCATATTAGTAGGGGATTTGAAACAAAAATAGCACGTTTTAGGATTAAAAACAGTGTGGTACAAAAACATTAAAGATTTAAGGATATATACAGGGTGAGACATATTGAGGATTTTTGGATTATCTGCAACTACAGGGTGTCTCATATTATGATGATGGATGTAATGTTATTTGGAGGTGACTGTGAATGGACGAGGAGGTCTTCTATAGATGAGTTAGGGTAGGTGTTGTTACCCTGTACCTGTGTCATTTGTAGTAGATGTCTCCCCTTATGAAGTCTAAGGCCCATATTTAATTTCATGTGCTCCCCTCATGTAGATCTGCTACATGAGGGGATGATATTAAACTCCGCATTTTGTTTGATTTGCTCCCTTCATGTAGATTTGCTCCTCTTATGAAGATAAACTCCATAATTATGTGCATATGCTCCCTTCATGTCCCTTTATCCTTGTTTTCTCACAACTAAACTTGAAGCAAATAAGTTTATTTCCTGGCCTAAAATAATACAAAACACAAGCATACATTGTACATGTGTGTGAATGTAAAATATTTTTGTTAGGACTTTAAGTGAGTTTGAGAATGGAATGTGAAACGCAAGAATGTATTTGTTAAGGTTTACTCCTTTCGTAAGATGTATGCACTGGGTGGCTTTAAGACTGCTACTTCCTTCTTGATCAGTTATAAACATTGGATTTTTATGTGTCTGGTCAGTATAAGGAGATACGATGTACTGAGGGAAAGAGGTACATCAGGGGTTGGGATAACCATTGAAACAGCAGGGTCAAATAATAATATCTAAAAATGAGTGTATTTAGGATAGATTATCCCATATACTTTAATCAAGGTTAAGATACCCTTTGGAAAGTAATGCATTTCATCTATGTTAAAAATAAAATTATATTTTGGGTCAACACCCCCCCCTCCTCAAAATGTAACTGGTGATAAATGTTAATTTCTGTGTGAAAATTATTGGATGGTTAACTATGTATACAAGGAGGCATTCTGTCATTTCACGATGACATTCAAAATAATACAGTTAAACCTATGTAATCTGAACATTACTGTGACTGGTCCAAGGTGTTCAGATTAGCAAGTGTTCACATTTCAAGGTTCCTTAATATGTGAATCAATGGGAAAACCAAGAAAAGTGTTCACATTTCAAGGTTCCTCAATATGTGAATCAATGGGAAAACCAAGAAAAGTGTTCACATTTCAAGGTTCCTTAATATGTGAATCAATGGGAAAACCAAGAAAAGTGTTCACATTTCAAGGTTCCTTAATATGTGAATCAATGGGAAAACCAAGAAAAAGTGTTCACATTTCAAGGTTCCTTAATATGTGAATCAATGTGAAAACCAAGAAAAGGTGTTCACATTCTAGTTCACATTAAGAGATGTTCAGATTAGAGTGTTCAGATATATAAGTTTTATTGTATACATTTTGAATGTCAGTGTTTATCATGGATGCTGAAAGTCTAAAGATGTGGTTTTCAGTAATCTTACACTTACTTTATTTATACAGTTTAGAACTCCTAAATAGGCTCTAAATACAAGTATGTGTTGAAATCAATTTAATAAAAATGAATGAATAGTGAAATTTGTTCTTTAACCTACCCCCTCCCCTTAAATCAAAATGCCCCCCTTATATTAAATAACTATTTTGATTCATTTCTTGACTTAATGTTACTTTACTAGGGAGGTCAGTGGTTTGAAAATGTAGGCCTCTACAGCTATATCATAACTAATTTACTTGATCAGTCTTGGCTTGCTCATGTTGTCGTAATAGCTAATCATAACATGATGATAGTAGTGGTTATTAACCACAAACTAATTTGAGCATAGATTGCAATTTATTTTGATAGAACCCAATATATACCATTGTGGGTTGCACAGCATGTACTTATCCCTTGCATAAGATAAAGAATCCCTTGCAAGATAAAGAGGGACTCCGGTAAATCAGAGGGAATATGTACTACATTATTTATAGTGGTAGGATGTGAGGGGGGGGGGGTCATATTCTTGTGTACATGGAAGTGTGAAATTTAATGTTTTTTAAGTTTGCAGAATTCATAATTCTTCCAAATGAAAAATTGTGATTAATAATGAGACAATGTATAAGGTACTCGACCTCCCTAAACAAGCTATATAAGGTAGAAAAGGTCTGAGACATAAGGTATAAGTGATCCTAGGATCCTAAATAGACACCGCTCTCTATAAAAATGAAAATGGTAAACCTGAAAATGGTAGAGCTAGAATATAATTCTATACTATACAGTATTGCTATCAGGATATGCCACACCCTTTCCATCTTTGTCCTTAATACGGTATGTAACAGAAAGAGAGAGATGCTACGAGTATCAGAATGCGGAATTACATGTATTGCCGATATCAATACTTAATATGCAGTATATCGCAAAGTCAATCAAATACAAATACCAAGTGTCTGACATACATGATGCTTCATATGTAAGTACTTAATAAAAGAACATTGAGCTCTAGGGCATTTTGACATATTAAAAATGTATGTATGAATATATTAAAGAGCTTGGCCTAGACATAAATGAGATGGCTATAATTACAGGTTATGAGGATGTTAGCATTGATTTTAAAAAATCATTCCCATCATTATGTCGTCTAATTATGATACACATGACTGTTTGCCTAACTCATGTTTTTAATACATGCCTGGGACTTTTGGCTTAAGTTTTTGATATGGTTTATAGGCTACATATATACATTTAATCCTATTTGGTAGGATAAGTGTACTTAGTGGTGAGTCGTTTAAATTATGCATGAATTTTTTTTAGTACAAGTCGTGTATCAATCTATCAAACTACAGACTTAGAAGTAATATAATGCCTTGGTCACATTTCCTCCGATTTTCAGTACCGGCGCCCGACCAATTAGTATTTTGTTCAATTATATCTCATTCAGTCTTCAACAAAATACTCATCGGTCGGGCGCCGATGTTGAAGATAGGAGCAAATGTGACCATGGCATACTGGATATCATCATAGAGTATTTGGTCAGGTTTTAAATTGGTGTATACGAGGGTCGTTCAAAAAATTAGGTATATATCTGAAACTTGGAAGTTTAGACCAAAATTCACCTTACTTTGTGAATAACCCTCATATGGATAAGAACCTACATTTATTTCAGAAGTAAAGAATACTGTAAAACCTGTATATCTGAACACCTCTCTAATACAAACACCTCTAATGTTAACATTATTTTTGGTTCCATTTTTTTTAATCTGGCAAAGACTTCCATGAAGAGGAGGGAAAACCCCATGATTCAATTGATGACATATGATTTCTTCCTTGGTGCACCTCCTTTCCCGGAAGTACTTACCCTCCATCTTGGTTTTCAAATTTTTCAAATTGACTTAGTTTTAAACCAATCAACGATCGCCTCGCTAAACCAATCAGCGATGATGTCATCTCAATACAGATTTACATTATAAGCGTATGTCATCTTTGAACCCTGGGGTTTCTCCCCCCCTTTCTTCCATGTTAAAAAAACTTGAAATGTGAACACCTGCCATTCTGAATCAGATTGGACAAGTTTCACTGTATGTACTATGATTTCTCCATCAAGAGAGATCACAGCCATGTGTCAGTTTCCTGCTAGCTTGAAAACAAAATGATGTGATGAGTATCAGTACGCAATCCAGACATCAATTTGTTCCTTTCCTCTTCCTTGAAAGAAGGAAATACAAAGTCAATGCTGCCTAGACCTCTATGTATAAATGATGCTGGGAATCGTGATATCATGATTCCATGCTTATTGTAGGATTCTATTGCTATGCAAAGTTCATGAATCTGTCATGACTTTGAGCATATTTAGCAGCAGCTACATATTAACTAATAATGCTATTCTGTACTACAATTGCAAGACACTGCTTGGTAATCTGAGAAGGTCAAGAAACACCCAAGCAATAATTGTATTGTATTCTGAGAAGGTCCAGTATGCAACACAATAATTGTATTGTATTCTGAAATATGTTCAGTATGCAACACAATAATTGAATTGTTTTCTGAGAAGGTCCAGTATGCAACGTAATAATTGTATTATATTCTGAGAAAGTCTAATATGCAGCACATAATTGTATTGAATTCTGAGAAGGTCCAGTAAGCAACGCAATTATTGTATTATATTCTGAGAAAGTCTAGTATGCAAAACAATAATTGTATTGACTTCTGACTAGGTCCAGCATGCAACACAATAATTTTATTGTCATTCTGAGAAGGTTCAGTATGCAACACAATAATTATATTGCGAATTCTGAAAAGGTTATATGCAATACAATTGCATGGCATTCTGACAATATGCAAAACAATAATTGTATCAGGTTTTATGCAAAGGTCATTTGCAATACAAAGGTCCTATTCAATACAAAGGTCCTATGCAATACAAAGGTCCTATGCAATACAAAGGTTCTATGCAATACAAAGGTCCTATGCGATACAAAGGTTCTATGCAATACAAAGGTCTTATGCAATACAAAGGTCCTATGCAATATAAAGGTCCTATGCAATACAAAGGTCCTATGCAATACAAAGGTCCTATTCAATACAAAGGTCCTATGCAATACAAAGGTCTTATGCAATACAAAGGTCCTATGCAATACAAAGGTCCTATGCAATACAAAGGTCCTATGCAATACAAATGTCCTATGCAATACAAAGGTCCTATGCAATACAAAGGTCCTATGCAATACAAATGTCCTATGCAATACAAATGTCCTATGCAATACAAATGTCCTATGCAATACAAATGTCCTATGCAATACAAATGTCCTATGCAATACAAAGGTTTTATGCAATACAAAGGTTCTATGCAATATGAATGTCCTATGCAATACAAAGGTCCTATGCAATACAAATGTCTTATGCAATACAAAGGTCCTATGCAATACAAATGTCCTATGCAATACAAATGTCCTATGCAATACAAAGGTCATATGCAATACAAAGGTCCTATGCAATACAATAATTGCATTGTATTCTGATAATGGGCTTTACAACACAATAACTACATGGCAATTTGACATTAAATCAGTATTTACTGGCATAAGACCATCATTTCGTCATAGTTTGAGTTTAAATTATTATGATATTGAAAAGCTCCTGTTGACTTATCATTGTACCCACAGATTATTAAGGGGCGCATGTTGGTTGCGATGAGGCAGTTTATGAATTACAATAACATTTTCAATAAT